TTCTTCACCGCACCAACAGCAGTTTCTTCGATAGAGCTGTCAGTTGCCCGTATCTTGCTCAATTCAACACGTTTGATTATATACCACTGCAAGAGGACTACAAAATAAGATCTTACAAAATAAGATATCACGAGGAATGCAAATTTCTCTACTTAATTATGATAGCGCACGAACACTTTGTACATATGTAAATATTTATTTTAATTGGATTTGTATTTTATTTTGTACCCTATTTGTGTATTTATGTACCCAGTAAATAATTTTATTTTATTTTTACTTTCTGTGTATTGTTTTATACATGTATATGTCACGAACAGACACTTGTCAGATTGCGCGACACCAGCCTCTCCTTGGTATTTCTCCCCTTGTGACGCATGGTCACCTCCTCTCACCTACCTCCGATGCCTCCTTGGCCCGTCCTGTTTTTACCGTCATGTGCCCATATGGCTAATTCTATCACGAGAATACCGGTAACTGACTGAATGTAAAATGTAAAATGACTGAATGTAAAATGTCATCCAATGACTGCCGAAGACCCCGCTGGCGAAAATTCGAGCTTACTATGGCTCCACATGTCCTAAATGGTGTTTGTATGAGCTTCAGTTTCGAGCGACAAACCTACTCATAACCATCCAATTAATCCTTACGACTAGACGAACCAGACAAACGAGTATTTATCTTACCAGACATACTTCTGTGTAAGCGATGTACAACGATTAATTAGATCAGCCAACTAACGAAAACCAAAGGCCCATTAACAGCAATTAAAATTCCAATAATTCAAAATATGTGATTTGCGTACTACAAATCATGTAGTTCTCGATCACTAAACTAAGAATTTCCAACCGGATTGAACTTAAGGAAAACATTGGCACGCAACGAAAAAAAAATAAAATAAATAAATAAATAAATAAAGCTGACATAATATTGGGGAAACAGAGTCATTTCTGGGTTACCAGGAAACCAATACTTGCGTTGGGGCTTGACCCCAAATCACACACACACACAGATCGTATTTTATTCTCGAGTGCGTATTTTATTAATTTATTAATCGTATTTTATTAATTTATTAATCGTATTTTATTAATTTATTAATCGTGCGTATTTTATTAATCGTATTTTATTCTCGAGTAAAAAGATGTAGAAACATCTTTTTACTCGACTTCTGATAAGAATCAGGTGGCCCCCTTTTCCATACCACAACCTTTCATTTTTCATTCGCAACCATTTTACTTCTTTTAGAATATTTCATTTTACATTAATCCTTCATAAACAACTGTAAACTCATTTACGTTATCTTAACCACAGATCTGCTAAAATGCTGAAAAATTTTATTACACAAACACTATGTTTAGTTTTATATATTTTATCACATAATGCAGACCTTTACACTCATGTGTCACTAATGCACAACTTAATACTTTACATTACATGAGAAAGTATTAAAACCTTTTTACTTCCTTGTACGAAATAAAAAGGAAGTATTGTAATTGCGAAAAGTTTCAGGTAGCATATTTCAACGAAAATATCCATTTTGACCGCTTTCGAATGCAATTTAACAATGTTTTTTGCGTGATATCTGTACGTAAGGACAGAATAAAAGACTCTTTTCCTCCAAAAAAATTATAAAACTGCTTTAAAATGAATTCTGAAGAGAATTTTTCGTGGCGTCTGTACGAACGTATTTAAGTACGTATCTCGCATAACTCAAAAACGAGTAGCCTCAGAACGTTGAAATTTTGTATATAGGACTACTATAACATGTAGATGTGCACCTCGTATTTTGGTTGCAATCGGCCGCGGGCCGCGCCAAACATATATAAAAATATTTATATATATATCCACTCTGTTACCCGGCTCAATGATCTCAGTTTCTTTACACTTATATGTTTGTAAATTGTACATTTTTTGCTTTAAAAGTGGTTGAATTATGTTGTTCTGATCTTCCGGTTAAGGTTTTTCTGTATTTAGTAAATCTGTATGCAATATTTTTAGAATTATCAACAATTTTAAAGTTGTTTAAGTGCCGCTAAGCCTAATAATTTTTTTGATGGCGGCCATTGCTTATTTCAAGGAGGTTAGAATACATGGAGATGCCCTGCCCGCAGTCCAAGTGAAGCCAAAAAGTGGGGGAAAGCATGCCCTTAGTAGTCGTGGCTTTAGAAAGATTGACGAGCTCTTCAGCCAATGAGGCAGAACCTAGCCACACCCAGTTTCGTAAATTAAAGACCGTGGATTCTTCGCGCGCTTTTTCCTTCACTTTTTCCCGCCATTTCATTTTATTTCTACATTTTCTATCATCTTGTAGACGGCTGCAATATTGTTCCGAGAAGCAATTTTTATTCCTGCGTCGCTTTCGGCTGTACAAATAGAAGAATAGCAGGATCCGGTATTACATTTCACAGGTAAATATTCTTTTAACATATATACTATCATTTATTTAATTATACTTTGCTCAAAGTTAGATAAAAATTTGCTGTGCATGTTTAAAACATATCCAAGGAAACGGCTGCAAGTGCTGATAATTGTATCAATTCTAATGATTATCAAGATGTGCAGAGGGAAAATATATGTACAAAGGGACTGATTCCATTAAAATGAGTTAAATGAGAAATGCATTATGTAATTACATGCTGTCATTAATGAATGCTAGCAATAAAGGTATTGTGAAAATAAATAAATAAATACTCAAACCATTAATTGATTATATTTTAGTTATTCTAAATATATACAGGTATAATTCTCAATTTTCCATGTTAGAAATACTACTTACGTTTTGAAAAATATTAAATTGCATGAACAATGATAAAAAAATAAATTTTAAATTCTGCATTGTTATTTTAAAACTCCCACAAATTTCACCCCAAATTAAATCCTGTTATTAAATATTTACTTTAACAGAAAATAAAATTAAATACATAAAATATGACTTGTAATATAATATGATCACACCTTTAAAATAACGCGTTTTCTTTTCCACAATGAGCTGACCACTCCCCCTTCCCTTGTTTACTTACCGTTCTGCTTTTACAACTCAGTTAATTACGAGTATAATACTCAAACCATTAATTGAAGAAAAATCTGAGAATTATAGATGTTTCTTCGCGCACGTCACACCGAGAAAATACTCAAACTCTTTTCTGACGGCTTTTCAAACGCACATTTCAATTATTCTACTTATTTATGCATGTTAAAAAACATTCTTTTATATGGAAATGAAATCCGAAATGTAGACATTATTTCAATGTAACCATTCAGTACCTTATAACCCTCTCACGTCTTCACATAAGAAATCAGAAAACACACTCAAAACTTCAAACAAGCTGACGTTTAACCTCACTTGACATAGTAAGGGAAGCGTTTTCTTGCCCTCACGAGGCGTGGCTTATTTGCTTCCCCCGGCTTCACTCTCCTCGTATTGCGACAGCAGAGACGCCATCTCCATGTATTCTAACCTCCTTGGCTTATTTACATTTGAAACAGCAGAGTAGTGGATTTGTTGCCAATCTATAGAAACGTAGCTTCGCAACAACAAAGATAACGCCTTCATTTATTATTGCGAAATAAATCACGCTTAATTCTTTCTGGAATTTTTTCGAGGAAATAAGTGTTTCAGATTTACTTAATTTTTAATAATTTAATTTTTAATAATTAGCAATTTAATTTTTAATAATTAGTAATTTTTATTATAGATATTTTGAGTTTTTATGTATTTTTGCCTTGTCACGCAGTGAGAACTGAATTAATTGAATGAGAAATACTCAATCGTCCATGAAAAACTGTTTCTTTTTTGTTTTATTTGCTTAATTTCTTTTATACATAATTCTAGCTTTATTATAGTATTTGAATAGAACTTGTGGCAACGATTAGATAATTCTATTCTTTAAATGATATATATTTTGTGCATTATGAGTTATCATATGAACGAAATATAATACTGTTAAGTGAACTTACCTCCAGAGTGTCGCTATGGTAAACAAATAGAGTGAATTTTAAAAAATGCATTTATTCTATTGTGGTTCATGCGCTGTGGGCGAAGTAGATTTAATTAAATCCAATAAGTTTAAACGAAATGCAAGAAAAAATGCGCATTATTTAATATTCCGTGCAAGGAAGTCATGTGGTGTACACCTTAAATTTTTTATTGTTGCTATTTCAATGGGAAAATTTAATTATTGCGACTCACATTGTAATAATCATATTGCTACTTAATTTTGCGTAAATTATTTAAACACACTAGCATAAATTAATTAACACAGATTCAGAGTGGTTATGTTCTAGTTTGAGAAACCTCCAGGCTGGATTTTAATGCATTCATTGAAAAGAATTTAAAAATTTTTAAAAATCTACAAAGACTTCATTAATTTTTGATAGTTTCTTGAATTCCTTTCTCTTGAAAAATTGCTTAGTAACGAGTAAACTGTATTTTTAATTTTCAGCTATTATTTTTTTCCTTCGGAACATTTTGCTCTAGGCTAGGATATCAAAGCCTATAATATATTTTTAGTATAAACATCACAGTTTATTTCAGTTGTATTATACCATATTCATTTGCATATTTCCCCCTGTCTTATCCCCCCCCCATGTTTTTTCAGCATATGAGAAAGTTCTGATTAATGGTAACAATGTAAAATGCACAAATAGAAAGATATTTTGAGTAAATAAAAGAAATATTATGCCAAATCTTTGGAAATGCATAATATAATAATTATAATATTAGAATGTCTTTAATTTATGCTTTTTAATGTGCTGTGTTTAAACTGTTTCTTCAAAAATTCTTCAAAAATAATATATACCTTCTCCTTCTAACTAGAAGCAAAATTAGGTGGAAAAGAGGAATTAAAAACAGAGGGATACACAGACGATGAATATCAATAAAATAATATTATCATACCTGAGTTAAACCATGAATTCCGAAAGGATTCATGGTTTAACTCCAAGACTCCAAGAATTTTAAAAGGACATCTTTGACTAGAGTGTGCCTCTCACAACTCAACTCGTTTCATGTCTGTCAAGATGGCTTCAGATGCCGAAAAGCAAAGTAAGGGTGGTGAAAAAGTAAAGAAATTAACCCAAGAACAAATTATTTCTACTTTCAATCAATTAAGGCAAGACCAGAAGAATTTAGTAACTAAATTAACAGAAGTTGAACAAGAGTTAAACGAACACAGGTATAAATTTTAAATGTGTATTATTATCATCCATGTGCGCCGAACACCTGAATGTAAATATGTAATTTATTACCTTTTGTAATGAGTTAGGATGTAAATTGAATTTCAGTGATAATTATAGCAGTATTCAATATTTATTAAATAGTATTCATATGTTGCTATCGTTAAATATACTACAAACATTATTTTTAATTATTATGAAAAATTTGCTCATTAAATAAAAAAATTGTGTTATTAAGTGCTTTCTTGAATTTATTGATAAAGTTTTCCATGAAGATTTAATGCCTAGCAATTAGTATTCTTGTAATGAGCGTACCAAAAATAAATTATTTCAGTTGTTTAGTCTCTGTAGTAAGACATAGGAAATGCTGAAGATTCGAAAACACTCCTTTAAAGAAATAGAAAAAAAAAAAAAAAAAAAATAATAATAATAATAATAACACGAAAGGCTCTTATCATGCATTCTTTAAGTAATTCAAAAGTAAATGGTATTATCAGACATCTTAAGTCTAATAACGAATATATGTATTAATGTTCATGTATGGAAACCATATAACAAGAATTAGCAAAATCTGATAGAATCCATATAATATAACAGCAAAATGCTTATCTTCCCCTCACCTTTTTCCTCTTTTTTTCCCTCTTTGCAGTTCAAATCTAGCCCTGTTATAAGATGCAATCAATGACAGATTTTTAATTTATATTCTCAGTATGGTATTGACCAGGGTCGTGCAGTATATTTTCTCTGTAGGATGTAAGGTTTCGAAATTCTACCCCTTAAATTTTTTTACTTTAAAATAACCGTCGCTTATAATTTAAAAAAAAAAAAAAAAAAAAAAAAAAAAAAAAACTGCACAACATGTAAAAATACTATTTCTATTTTAAAAACATAAACTTTTAATGGGGAAAGTGCAGAATCACCCATTGCTTGGCGCGTTTTTAAAAATTGCACATACTTGGTATCCATGTACACATTGACCTATTTTCACTTAAAAAAAAAAAATCTCAGAATTGCACAAAAATGGCACTTAGCACACCCTAGACTTTATCTATGTACACATCGACCTATTTTCACTTAACCTTTGACTACTGTGACTTAAATTGTTGCATAACTACAGTGAGCGGTCTCTCAGACTGCTTCTGCTAAAAACAAAATAAGATATTGTTTTTTTTTTTTTTTTTCTTATTTGAATAAATATTATTTAATTTCATATATTTAACTTTTGCATGAAGATATAAAGCAATTTTTATGCTTAAATCAGTTCATTAAAATAAAAGATATACTGTGATAATAATTCCTTCGCTTGTGTATCTGGATCGAAGAAGAAAATTTTTAAATTCAACTTTTTTTTATTTTGCATTAAAATTTGCGATAAGAATGCTTTAATAAGAATATAGAAAATTAATTTTTATTTTAAAACTTATAATCCAAGCTGCATTTTATACATACTTTTCTACTGCTTTGTAGACACACTGATTATTTGCATGCTATATATTTGTAAGCTGTTTTGCTTTTTTTTACACGGTGGACAAATATAGCACGTTCTTTTTTCTTTTTAATCTAATTTATCGTCTTCAATTGCAATGTTTCCTTCATCATCATTTATTCCGAAAACTCTTCTTATTGTAAGTTTGAGTTCTTTAGGTAGAAATGCTAAAGTTATCTTCCGTTTTACACAAGACTGCACCAATTGAATTGCTAATGAAATCTTTTTGTTTCATTTTCGGAGCCAATGGAATAAGATTGAAATAATACGAATGCATTTGTTGCACAGGTATCCAAGTTTCTGAAGAATGTTGCCATAGGCCAATGTTGGGTTCGACGATCAGTTGAATAGATTGAACGAAGAATAATATTGTGACTTTAATATAACAGCAATATAACAGTTCGAACACCTTTGTTGGGCTCTTGAATAGACCACTGAATTCATTTTTTCCAATAAAAAAATATCTTGTAGAAGGAGAACATGGATTTTCATTTTCATCGGCAGATATTTCTGAAGTTGTGTCATGGTCGCTCTCAATAATTTCATCATGGGAACTTTCATCAGAGAACTCTAAATTAGACCAATTTCAAACTATGTATTCAATTTGGTCTTAGGTAAGATATACAGAATGTTTTTTGCATGCATTCGAAGCAATTTCAAGAATATTTATAAGAAAGCGAAATATGTAACAATAATGAAAAGTAAACTTTATCAGCCGAACTTTGAATCGTATCTGCTGTGATCGGTCCCACAGACCGCTGAGGGGGAAAAATTAAAAAAAGTGAAAGAAGAAATATAGCTACCCAAATGGAACTTGGTATGGTATGTGACCTTGGACAACTGATTTAGAAAGGTACTAGAAATGGCAAAACCCATTAATTATTCTAAGGGGTGGAAGCATTTAATGGAAAATGTCTCGTGGTCTGAGAGACCTCTCACACCAGTAAAAGGTTAAATTAAAGAAAACTGACAAAAATCAAATTGTTTTTAACCCTTGTAAAAAGCGACAAACAAATAAGAGGACAATTCTGCACTTTACCAAGAATTTTTTCAAAGAAAAAGCATCATTCACTGTAGAAAATTATGTTTAAACAACCAACGAGATGAAATTATGCTTTAGCAATAACTCGGTAGCGAAATAGCGATGCAGGCATCCATTCAGTTATGTTTAGCAATTTTTATATAAATTATAATAATGATCTGAAGTAGTTATTTACTCTTATGCTTCCATTCAGTCATGTTTAGCCTTTTTTATATAAATTATAAAGTAATATATGAAATTAACCTTTCATCTAAATTAAAACATCAATCTTAGATAGTTATTTACTATTATACTTTGGTGATTTTTTATGGCCCTCAAAACCGAATAGTACCCAATTTTCTTATATAATAAGTTTTATTAGTAATTGTTGAAAATCAAGCATATATTCCTTCACAATAGCCCCCCTCCAGTAATATTAAAACAAAGTTACTTATCACCAAAATGGAACAAAATTTGTAGCCAATCTAAGCTCAGTAAACTACATTTTAAATCACACAATGAAATAACAAAAAAGGAAATACATGTTATTGCATATACGTATTATAAAAAGGAAATATTGACTTACCATATTTAGAAATTTCTGCGTCTTCAATCTATTACACACAAAATTCCGTAACAGTATCCAAAAACTTCTAGAGTATTCTTCAGTATCTAAAATTATTTGAATTAGAATATGCATACTACTGTCACCACACAAAGTCACAAAAATAAGAGTAAAAAATATCAGAACTACTCTGGTATGCGGCCTCAAGTCGCCAAATTTCTTGCCAAACATTTTTGGCAAGAAACTCCACGCTGCCATATTGCTATCTAAATTTTTTGTCTATATTTCGAACTTTAACCCTAAAATGTCTCCAATAACGCTGTTTTCGCACATACAAAAACCATGTTTTGAACACACAATTTAAGCTACAAATCTGAAACAAAAACGTAAAGTTTCTAACCAAAAATATTTGACAAGAATCTATGTACACAGCGATATGTTTTAACTTCAAAAAACATCTATGAATGGCACAATCTAGGCTACGAACTATGCACACTTTGCTTTAATAAATTAACATAACAACACCTCGCTTTAATAAATTTCAAAGAATACCATGTACACAGCGTTCTGTTTCAACTTAAAAAAAAAATCCACGAATTGCACAATTTAGACGGTACGCACTAATCAACAAAATAACTAAAATAAATTTCAAACAATTCAAAAAAAAAAAAAAAAAAAAAAAAACAATAACGACAAATTTATACTTAAAAAACAATGAACATAACATTCTAAAAAATAAGAACAAAAAGTAAAATGTACTTACCGAACAGCAGAAATCAGCACTTTTTCGAACAGCAGAAATACCAATTTAATGCTGCCACGTAATCACTATCGTGTTTATATGATAGCCAGACACACTATCCAGAAAATTTATACTGTGGTTCACAAATAAATAAAATAACAAATAATCACAAATCCCTACTTCTTCCCAGACCCTCTTTTCACACCTCCAAATACTCACTGCCCCTCAACAGGATGGCCATGACGATATTTGCTTTTGCCGAACTTCAATTCAACAACTTCCACCATTTTGTCTTTCCTCCCTAGCTTCTCAGACACAGAGCATGGCGCAAACCAGCAAACTCCAGCGAAAGATTTTTCAACGTCAACAGGGTTGCCATACAACACGCAATCGTGCCCAAAACCAGTGCAGAACACATATCGCCACATTTGGTGAAATTAGGGCGTATGTCAGAATTGTACCAAAATATCCTTTGTAGTGCCGGACTGTCAGTGGCATTTCTTGCATGAACCTTTCTTGTGACAAACTCATTCAAAGCCATCTGAACAATCTTTACGTTTGACCATACACATTTCCTTTATACAAACAGGACACTTATAATGTCTACTAAGTAAATCTTCATTTACACACCAGCCAATTAATGCTTTTTCCCCTTTCATTCCAAATCGTACAAAAACTTCACAATCACATCGCATACAGCTAGTTTGTGGTGTACAGCACAAATTAAGCAATGTACTTCCTAGCTGACATCCAACCAGAAATAAGCCCTTATAAATATTTTCCCATCAGTCAATTCACTGCAATCATGCAACCAATCTCGTCATAATAGGGTTTTTATAATATCCAACTACTCAAGTTACCATAAATGAAACAACTTGGCAATAATCCAAGGGGCAACCTAAAATATAGACTAACACCTGTGATAAGCAGTGTTTATTATACACACTGTGCAATTCATGAAAAATTTCAGATGGTTTTTTTGCCCAGTTTTATTTAAAAAATAATAAAAAAAAAATCTGAAATGTTTCAGATTTTAAATTACGTCCAAAGGGGCGTTTTTTTAACGTTTTGAGTGTTACCTTTATTTATTAAATATCATGTTCTTTGCACTTAAACCATAAAATTCAGTTCAAGAGCAATATCGCAAAATAATGTTAAATTAAGCATATCTTTAGAATTTCCGATATACACAGTCTCGCGAGCTGGAGATAAAAGTATTTTTTTTCTATATAACGTTGCCATTTCTCGCTTTAAAGCATTGAGTTTGTAAATCAAAAATTCGTTAAAGTTTTACAAAATATAAAATCTATAATAAACAAATTCCAAATTTGGGATTTCAGATGCCCATATTCGCAGTAGGATTTCGTCATTCAAAATTCGATGGCTCTATATACCATTGTTTTATAAAAAGCCAAGAAATAAACCATCATTTAATCAGAATTTTTCATATTTTATTTTCTTCAAATTTAAGCAGGACTCTAAACATTTTGTGGCAACAGTTTGAAAAGTGAACCGACGTTTATGAGTCCGACGCAAAATCGCAAAACGTAAACAATAGTCCTTCAGGGACAAAGCCCTTTGGACTAATAATAATAAATAAAACATTAAAACAACTCTGTGCTTGATTTTTATATCAACCGTTTCTGTGACAAACATTCTGGAGTACTAATTTCTATGATTTCAGTAATTCCACGCCCCCAAATGCTATTGACATACATATATTGCGATTTGCCAAGCCCATACGGAACTTGCACCAGTCTTGCCAGGTTCTAGAGTTGCAAATAAATTATCATTTAATTATTTTACCTTATGTTAAATTTATCAGATTTATGCTTATTAAATATTTATTATATACATATTCTTATTTCTAGTCTTGTTGTTGATACTCTTAAAGATGTTGATCAAGATAGAGTGTGTTATCGTATGATTGGAGGTGTATTAGTTGAAAGAACTGTTAAAGAAGTTTTACCTGCTGTTTCTCATAACAAGGAACAGGTAACAATATTTTAAATAATTTGCTTAAGATATTTTGTTAATAATAAAAATATATTTTTTAATTTTATGAACGTGTCTGCACATTTACATTGTTTATCTTCTAATTTATTTTTACAATTTGTACTGCATTTTTGTAGGAAAACTGGAAATGATTACTAAATGTACCTTTTTGTTACTTTTAGCTGGGTGCAAATATCTTCAGTAGTGGGAATTCTTCTCCCTCCCTTTTTTTTACATTTTGCTAATGGTTCATGATCCTTGAGTAAAGAATCCAAATGGTATTTCAAGAGAAAAAAATACAGATGCAAATTTTCATATCATTCAGTGAAATATTTTCTTTGCTATAACCATAATCAAACCATGTTCGTTAGCACATACTCTTTTTACAGAATGGGCTAACAAAAATTCATTTGGTCTTTAAAAGTAAATATTTTTAGAATAATTTGGTCCTTATAACCCTTTGTCGTTTGTCTTTAATTTTGTTCATGTGGCTTTTTTGTCACTTTTTTAATAATTCCTAAATTTAAATTAACATTTTAAATGAACATGTAATTCAAACTACATGGCTAGTTATGGACTATCACAAGTTGACATTGTAAACAAGGGAAATTAGACATCTCAGGATGAAAATTGGGGGGTCTGCGAGTTGTTGTTCATCCAACCTCTCAAAACATATATTACAACAAGGATTCTTTGTGTGTAGGAAGGAAAAAAAAAAAAGAGTTTCTTGCATTTTGACCTAGATTTTATAGTCATATTTCCACATATTGTGACAGTGTCACCTTCAAGAAAATCAGCCATAAAAATCAGGGTAAAAATATATTTCAACAGGGTTCGTAGCGGTCTTTATAAGTGCTTATAAGTCCTTATATTTGAAAATAAAATATAAGGCCCTTATAGGTGCTTACTTTTTCTTTAAAGTCCTTTTTTTTGTGTGTGTGTGTGTTTATTTTTTGCTTATAATGCTTTTTTTTTTTTAATGAACGTGCTATTTTTCCCCCGTACCAAAGCCGAAACTAAATAAACAGCTTTTCTTCTTAATATGAAATGTCAGATGGTGTGAATCATACTCCCGGCCCAAAAATAGCTTTTCCCCCTTTCTCTGCATTAACATAACCTTTGGTGCGCACAAAGAGTACAGACAGGTGCCCGTCGTCGTTATATTGGTCAAAGAATTGCGAAAGCAGTAGAAAATTTCGGTACATTCGGCATTCTTTTCCTCTCACCCAAATACTACACACGTTTGAATTTCTATCCAGATCTTAATAATTTGCATTCTCGTTCCGCTTGGTCAGTTCATATTTGTGTTTATTATGATCATTATGCTTATATTATGAGTATATGTATGAATGTTTATAATAACATAGTTGCAGTAACTGCTGAAGTATAGTAAACTTCCAAAAATGGTTGTGTTTTAACACAGATTAGCTTTTTAGGAATAATATTCGGAATGGCTTAAATAAAGGGAAAGTAATCGAATAGTCAAAATAATTTCATTTTTTTGGCCAATACATTATATAGTCGAAGATTGGGAGGTTCTCCCCTTTCTCCGCAAAATATATTGAAACTGTTACAAGTTCGCTGCAAAACAAGCAACGGACTTTTTTTTTTTTTTTTGTCATTTTTCCAATCTGGATTGAATAGGACTAAAAGTTCTGTGGTCTACCAACCCAAGCGAAGAATGATTCTATTGCGGAAATTTAACGCCGTCTGTTGAAAATTAGAATGAAAAAAAAACACCCCAGTTTATTTATTCTCCCAATTACCAGCAGCTGTTGATTCCGATTGCGTAATATCACGTAGGAAGATTATGGCACACGTATTGTGCAATAACGTTTGCGATATTTTGCAGAGAGATTAATTAATTTTTGATGTTCTGTTTGAGATTTGTTTATGAACACTTAAAAGAGTTTTACTGTGCTTGCTAAGCAGAATATTTTTCAGTTCCATTGGTTTATTTTTATATGATTGCACATATCAAAATGTCAAAAGCATTTATTTAGCGGAAAAATCTAAAGAGTGGCTACAGTCAACCCCCCCCCTCCGCTCCTCTTTTTCAAGTTACGCTCAACTGTCCGAATATTCGCCAATTTCCAAGTATGCATTACAGGGTTGCCACGCTACCGGAGAACGGGAAAAGTCAGGAATTCGAAAATTGACCAAAATATTCAGGGAAAAGTCAGGGATTAAGTATTTTTGTCAAATCTGGAAAAGTCAGGGAAGTTCATACAACACCGCCAAAAAAGCGATTTTGCTCCGACGTCGAAGAGGTAACTTTTTGGCGAATTATGTATCACGTGAGTGTCATTCGGGTAGCTGGCATAGAGCCAATTTTCGCAGCTCCAATTGATTGTCTTTTAGAAAGGCAAAGCAACTTTCCCGCAACTTTTGGTTTCCAATATTCTCGAGAATCGCATGTGCAGTGCATGAACTAAGAAAGTACCTGTTCTCGTATAAAACAAAATGGGTTTAATCCTAGTATACGGTACCATGGAGGTTAGAATCAAAGAATATGTATTGTAAAGAAGGAAAACCTCTCTGCAACAGACGTGGCTGTGGCTCCGTTCCATCATAGAGGGAAAACAGCTGTGCATGTCTGATATATCTGTCGCCAAAGCTCGACACCCGGTGTCGAAGTTCGAAGGTCACGTTATCAAGAGTTCGTAAAATGAATATCGTTTTAAAATTTCTTTAACCACTTGCGCGCTAAAAAGACGTGCCACGCACGTCATGCTTTTGTCTCAAACCGCGAGTGACGTGAACACCACGTCGATAAGCATTTATCGCAAAAATGAAAATAACGTGGTGCAACCGTCGCCTAACAACGAGATTGTTTATTTCTCGGTTACAGCTCTGGATTGCACTCGCAGATGCGGAGCGGCGTGAATGAGACACTTTACGGCTTGTTATATTGTAGCGCACGGCACCGCAACCGTGAAGTTTAGTCTCAGCGCAAGTGGTTAGACTCTAAAGGAAAAGAAAATATTTTTGGCGCAAGTAAATTAATCATGGATTAGTTATTTTCAGGGAAAAAAAAAAAAAAAAAAACTACGAAAATCCGTTTTTAAATTATTGCGAAAAATCCAAGAAGAAAACGTCTTTGATAAAACGTTTCTTCTTGGATTTTTCGCAATAATTTAAAAACGGATTTTCGTAGTTTTCTCTTTGTCAAAGAGCGTTTCTTCTTAACACGTGTTTCTCAATCTCCTGTACACATCGCAGAGAGGGAAATTCTGGCCGCCAGGTTCCGTCGCCAAATCCCTTGGCAAATTTTCCCTCCGCATTCTAGCGGCGTAATAGCATTTTACTTGTATGGAACCTTTTCTTCTTTACATAGACGTTCTTTGGTTAGAATAATAATGGAATTTGGCGACATCTTGATGCGCAGTAAACGGGTCATTTTGGTCTTGGCGACAATTTTCAAATCGTGCCAAAGCCTTACCGTATACTAGAATTTTACCGCAAAATCTTTTTAAACCTTTTTTTTTTTTTTTCTTTTTAATAAATACCTTGCCATTTTGCAGTAAAATAAAAAAATAGTAATCAGTCATCTAGGCTAGCCATGTAATATAACTATATTCGCTAAATATATTGATTATTCTAATTCATTTTAGTAATTATTTTTATGTTATTCGTATAATTTTAATGTGCTTCTTCCCTCTAAATTTATTTTATTATTAGTAAATAATATTTCCAATTTCAGGAAATTCTCTGGCTAATTCTGAAATTAATTATAGCAATGATGACATACCATCACAAATTTAATTGCACATTTTTTTTCCTATGTATGCTGCGAAATAAATATAAAATACCTCATTTATTAAAATAGATTCTTTCTTTCGTTTAGCTGCAGAATGTCTACAAAAAAAAGCCTTATTTTATTCCAGATGGGAAGTTTCTAATCTCATCTTCATTGGAGGAACAACAACTATTATAATTATGTTTGTGTTTCAAGTGTTAAGGGGCCTTAAAACTACTCACGCAATTAATTACTAAATCAACCAATATTTACATGAGTTGTGATTTATAAGGACCGGATAGCCTCGTGTTGAACTGGTGATGATCATGAGTAATAATTAAATAAAACAGACATTTGTTTCCAAATATATATCTTAAATTTTATTTAATTTCTTAGTGGAAACTAACAAATTATAAACATATACCAAGAATAAGAAGAATAAATGTCCTCTGGGATTATTGAAAATTAAGGATTGCTCCACAATACAGTAATACCATAATAATTTTCCTCTTAGCACACCAATGTACATTATGCGGAAGACTGGAATTTTCTTGAACACCCTGGAAAAGTCAGGGATTTCATTTCCTGTTGAGTGGCAACTGATGTTAGTTAAGCTTTTACTGTTAAAGGTATGACTGCATGAAGCATTTCTGTCTTCTGATTTCAGAAGGTCTCTTTTTTACTTAAATTACTTTTTGCAAATCTGTTAAGGGAAAACTGATATACAATGAAATTTAGAAAATTTTCGAATTTATATTTAATTATTTAAATATCAATATGAGTAGAAAAATAAATTGTATTTATTATTAGGTTCCAAGCGAATACAATAATATGCTTATTATTATTTATTTTTTCTATATTGAACAGAATTTCATCATTAAATCTTGTGATATAGTTTAGTTCTGCATAGTTTTTTTTTCCTCTCATTGTAAACTAGTTCTGTAAATTGAACTTTTATTTAAAATTTAAAAAAAAAAGTAATTATTTTCCATGGTTGAGGTAATACTTATTCTCTTTTAATAAATACAGTCAAAAGTCGTTAATTCGGACACCCATAATCCAGAATGATCTATAATCCGGACCTTTGCCGCTGCGAATTTGCGTGTGCGCATGCGCAAAATACGTTTACGAATGCGCGTTTAATGTATCACGGACAGGATAAGCTAAGCGAAAATTATCTAATTATCTATTTCAGTGAATGTTGCAGATTGCGTTGTTCCTTAATCTTCGAATTGGATCCGGATTATTATTTTTTGCAGAC